GGCAGCACAGGTTCAAGCTCTGGTCCTGCCACTCAAGCTGAGGGGCAGGCAGCTTTGAAGGTTGCTCCATCCTCTTGTTCTCTGCTGGGCTTCATTACCTGAGGATGGGGGTGGTGGTGATGATCGTATAGGAAGACGTCCACCAGGGTGCCTTATTGTCCCTCTGCCCCAGGGGAGGGCTGTTGGAGTCTGGATGGGGTCTGGAGGGAGGATGGGTTTAACTCAGACACAAAAACACAAACACAAACTTACTGCCATCGAGAGGATTCGGACTCATCGCGACCCTGTAGGACACGGTAATACTTCCCCTGTGAATTTCCAAGACTGCAACTCTTTACAGTAGAAAGTCCCACCTTTCTCCTGCAGAGCTTGCAGTTAGCAGCCCAGCGGTCGCCCACAACAGCAGGGCTCCTTCCTGGGTGACCGAGGCTCAAAGTGGGGCAGGCATGAACACGAGGTCGCTCAGAGTTGGCTGGGTGGAGCAGTAGCTTATACTCTGAGGAACACACATCTCTCTTTGACCAATTCTCACGGCATGTCTGTTAGGTCCCAAGAGGCCCGCTCTCCGCCAGCGAGCTTCCTGCCTGTTCTCTGGGGCAAGGCAGGTGGGGCTGCCTACTGCTCCGGATACCCTCGCCACAGCCCCACAGCCCCCAGGGTCCTGACAACAGTCACCACAAAATCAGGTTCACTTTGGCAACGGACTTTTATTCAGTCAAAACGGGCAGAATGTGAGGAACCGAAGCCAGGTCAGGTGGCTCGGCTGACTCTTCCACCCCAAGACCCACCCTTTCCTAGGGAGAGGGCTCCAGGCAAGGGGTGTTACAGAGAGCAGCCGCAGAGGGGGCCTGCCCTCAGCACTTCAGAGAAGGGAGGGGCTGCCCTCCCCCAGGAGGTCACACAGACACCACTTCTGTCTCTAGGAAAACATCACAACTTCTACCTTCTTCAGCTAGTGAACTAAAGTGGGGACGGACGGGCTGTCCCGAAAGGGATGGGGGTCAGGGACTTTATCAACTAATCTCATACGTAAGGAATCCCTTATCTGTTTTCTTCTTAAAAACAAACTTCTTTTTTTCCCTTTCTGCTGCTTAAAAAAATGATTCTGAGTATAACCAAAAATAGGCATTTGTTTCCTTGGCTTTTCTTTTCTTTAACTAAGTATTTAAAAGGACAACACGACAGAAATGAGAAACAGCGTCCCGGAACATAACCCTTAGACGCAAGGCGTATAAAAATAGCTTCCAGCCAGGACTGCACGCTGCTGCCTTCACTACCCAGAGGGTGGGCCCCGCAGGTGGTGCCCACGAACCAACGGCCTGGGAGACCTTTGCAAGGGACACTGCCTGACCACCAGGCACACACACACCCATCACACAAGCAATACATTCCAGGGGCCAGGCTGCTCGCTGCCCAGGGGCCCCGTGTCTGGGCAGGGGAGGAGCAGACTGGGGAGGGGGCGACCTTCCACCCTCCCCAGGCCCAGGTGGGCAAGGGGTTGTCTGCTGGGGGGGAGGCAGGAGAGGGCCCAAAAGGAGTGAGCAGACAGAGTGGGGGCAGCGTGTGAGGAAGTGGCTGGATGGGGACAACAATGTACACTATGAGGAACACATGTCCTCTGGTTTTTGGCTTTTTCTCTCGCTCACAATTTCTCTTTTACCAATTCCACCGTATTCCTATAGGCCCTGGGAGACCCACTCTTGGCGGCATATCCCTGCTTGTCCTCGGGGAGGCAGGAGGGGCTGCCCGCAGGCGGCACAAAGGGTCCAGTGACACAACACAGGTCCACTGAGCAGTGAGCCTTGAGGTAGAAGTCTTGCTTTCACACCTGGATCTGGGAAGGTTTTTTTTTTTGTTTTTTTTTTCCATCTTCTGGACAACAATGTGGGGAAGGAGGGAAGGATGCCCATAGGGGGCTTGAGGTAGGAGTGCATTTGGGGCTCTGTGGGATGGGGGGAGGCTGAGACTGCATCCTCCACCCCCCACCCCAAGGACATTCATTCCGGCTGAGGTAGGTGCGGAGAGCGAAAAGAGCAAACACCATCCTGAGGAAACAAGGTCGGTGGAGGCTGCCAGTGTCAGGACCCAGTCACTGCAGGGCCCTGGGAGTCTAATACACCTTCCTCTCTCTTCTCTCTCTCCCTTAACTTTAAAGTTGTTTTTTAAGAAAAACATCAGTTCTAAGTCATGTGGGCACCAGGCAGGGGAGGGGCTTCTGCCAGGCCCCTCTACAGTTTCCCGGGGGTCCCTGCTGAGACTGCCTTAGGAGTGGACAACCTGAGAGGCAGTCAGGAGAAACACGCGGGGAGTCCTCCAGGGCCACCGAGAGCCCCCACGACAGAGGAAATCATGCCTGTGACCTGAGAAGGGGGGCAGCCTTCCCTCCAGGCTGGCCGGACACAGGCTACTGTCCCGAGCCGGCTGGGGCCATGGGAGGCCTGGTGCCCTATCCTTCACTGAGGAGCCCTCTGTCTGCATCCTGGGTTGGCAGGGCAGCCACGGGGCCTTCTCGGGGGACCTCGGCTTCCAGTGCTGTCTCCTCCGGAAGGCTGAGGCCTTGCAGGGACAGCTTGGAGGGCTGGGTCTCCTCACGTGGGGTGGAGCCTGTGGGATCCTGCTGGAGAAAAGCCTGGTATAGAGAGCCCAGTAGACTGCAGGGGCCCAAAGGCTCCCCACTCGAGAGGCCGCTCCAGATACCACCCCCACCTGGGGTGTAGGGTCTGAGGCCTGACTCGGCAGACGCGCACAGTTAACCACCCACCACAGGTCTGGGGCCTAAAAAAGACATGGACCCCGGCTGAGGCCTGGGACTCACTGTGGGCCTGGGGTCTGGCTTTCCTGCCACCCCCGCTGCGGGGAACAGCCGCTCCAGCTCCTTCATGTCCACGGGTTTCTCGCCTCGGCCCGGCTGGCCCCGCTCACCCTGGCCCGCCCCATGCAGGGTCAGGACACCAGGGTCCCTCTGGCTTCGGGGGCCCTGAGGAGGGGAGAGCTGGTTCTCTGCGTCCCTACACAAGAGGACCCTGAGGAGTGAGGCAGGCGTTAGCGGGAGAGAGGGAGGGAGAGAAAGCAAAGAAGTCCCTCTGTTCCCCACTCCCACCCCATTCTGCCCCTGCCCAGCCCCCACCCCACCCCTCCCACCCAGCCCATCTCACCTCCCCTGCCCATCTCACCTCTGCCCAGCGCCAACCCCGAGCCACGCCCACCCTCGCCCTCCTGGCCACACCCACCTGCCCCTTTGGCCAAGAAGAAGGAACAGGACACAGAAGACAATGCAGGCGACCCCCGCGTGGACGCCGACGATGATGCCCACAGTGGAAGTCTGGTTGGCAGCCTCCTCCTTCCGGCAGTCACATGGTGGGTTCAGGGCTGGGGATGGGCAGGGATAGGTTGGCAGCTGCTGCTTTCCTGGCCGTAAAGGGCTCCCACATGTCCAGCCGGGCAGCGGCAGGGGGAGGGGGAATAGCGCCCTCTCCCTCCGCTGCTTCCGCCCTGAGGTCCGCAGCCCATCACTGCTCTGGAGAGCCTAGCCCGGTGGGTCCGTGGGTTCTCGTTACCCTTTGCTGCGCACCACGGACAGCACTCCAGTTTACTCTCGCCGTGTCGCTCCCCTTGGGCCTGGATAAAGTGGGAACTAAGACCCCCGTTTCAGTGAGCAGAAAGCCAGGGCTTTCCTAAGTAATTCTTCGCAGCCACAGGGCTCTGAGAACACTGCCCAGCAGGCTTTGCACTCGGGTCCTGTTCTGTAGGCTGCCTTCACGGTTCCCGCCCCCTCGGACCTCAGCCCTCACTCCCTTTCCGATCCCTCACCTGTCCTCTCCGACGCTCCCCTCAAAGACACGAACCGAATGGTGGCATTGCCATCCCCGTGCTGGTTGTAGGCGAGCAGCTTGACCTCATACACCACAGTGGGGTCTGGGGGCAAGAAGGGCCCCTAAGTGGCAGCCACTGGCCCCGGCTGGCAGTGACCCCATGCACAGCGCCCCCACCCCCACCACCCCCCATGCCCGGGACCTGGGCAGCCTCACCGAGCTGGCTGAGGTTGTAGGAGGAGACCGTCCCGGGCAGCAGGATTGGGCCTGTGAAGGTGGCCTTGCTCGCTGGGCGGTAAAACAGCTTGAAGCCGCCTTCATACTGGGCCAGGCGGGGCCAGGGCTCCCAGAGCAGCTGCAGGGAGGAGCTGCCCAGGACCCTCACTGACAGCGGTGGTGGGGCAGGGGCTGTGGGCAGAGAAGGAGGGCAAGGGGCAGAAGCTCAACCAGAGCCCCTACCTTTCTCTGTGGTCACCTCCCAGGAGCTGGGCAGGGCTCTGCTCTGGCCCAGGGCCTCCACTTGCCCTGAGACCTGCCTCTCACCCGGCAGACCCAGCGCCTCTTGCCCTCAGGGCCAGCCCCCTGCTCAGTGCACAGACTGGACAGCGTGCTGGTAGCTCGCTCCACCCGCATGCCTCACCTTCGCCCGGGGTGCTGGCCAGGGTGGGGACGGAAGCGGAGCTGGCCCCGCTGGGCGTGTAGGCCTTGATGGAGAAGCTGTAGGCTGTGCAGGGCTCCAGGTCGCTGACCAGGTGCTGAAAGGTGCTCTTGCTGACTGCTTCCTGGTACTCCAGCTCTGGGGGGTCTGGGGAGGTGACGATGGGGAAGGGGGTTTAAGAGGCACGAGGGCATCTGACAGACACTGGGCAACCACGCTAGGGTGGGACATGTGGGATGGGAAAGGACAAGGAATCCAGTGGGGGAGGGGGCTGCCCAGCCAGCCATGCCCGCGGCCCACATACCAGCAGCCTTCCTGATGTGCAGCACGTAGCCGATGATCTCCTTGGTGTTGACCAGGGGTTCACTCCAGGATACGCGGACCTCCGTGGAAGACACGGAGACTGCCTGCACATTGCGGGGAGGCCCGGGCAGCCCCTCGGCCCACAGCACGGTCAGCCTGGCACTGGCCTGGGAGGAGCCGGCGCTGTTCTCAGCCACGCACTGGTAGATGGCCTCATCCTCAGGGCCGATCCCAGAAATGGTCAGTGTGCTATAGAAGAAGGGGGAGCCTCAGGTCCCTGCCCCGCCCCAGAGGCGCAGGACTGGTCAAGGGCCCCAGCAAGTTAAGGGCAGACTGGGGGCTCCAACACTCCTAGAAGCTCTCGCTGCATCTCTTGGAGGGAGATGGGGCAGCCTTCAGGGTCCTGCCCCCGGCCCATCTCGTCCCTACCCTCCCTTGCCCTTCCTCCCTGCTGCCCCGCCCCCCGACACACCTGTTGTTATTCTTGAGCCTGACATGGCCTCCTGGCCCCAGCACCTGCCCATTCTTCAACCATGTGACATGAGGGGGTGGCTCACCCTGAGCCTGGCAGGTGAATATGGCTGTGGTCCCCACGGGCCTTGAGATGGATTGGGGGTGCTGGATGAATTCTGCAGGGGCTAGGGATAGGGGGGAGAGCTGTGAGTCAAAGGATGAATAAAAGGGGCCAGGGAATGGGTGTCTGCAGAGGGTGAGGGGGGCTGGGGACACATGTACAACCCCAGAGAACCCTCCAAGCGCTCCCCCACCCCACCGTCCACAGGACTCACTGCCCTTCCCCCCAGGCAGACCCCAGAAAGGATTCCATTTTAATGACTACTTAAAAGACTGACATTTGTATCCGCAAGCAATCAAGCTGAGCTCCCTGTTCAGGAAATTGTTAAATAAATAAATGTGCTAGCAGTTTTGCTGCACCTCGAGGAGGCTGTGATGATGGAGAGGTGGATGGCCCTTCAGACCGGGCCCCCCTAGCCCCCACATTCAGTTCTCTCTCCTCCAGTCGCAGGCCTCCAGCCTCCGTTCATCCCGGAGAAATGAGACACTCCGTCACTTTCATTTGGACAGATTAACAGCACATGGAATGCTGGACAACGGCATTTAAACTCCTCATCTTCCTCTTCCTCTGTAGCCTCTTCCTCTGCTCTCAGAAAAGCCCTCAACACCGAAATCCACCCAGGTTCCCGGGGCCACGGAGCAGGAGAGGGCCGGCTGGCCGGTCAGCGTGGAGGGCGCTTCCAGCCCTGGGAGGTGGGGAGCCAGGGTGTGCACGTGTGAAAATGACAACCAGACAGGTGTGAGTGTGGAATGGAAACAGCGCTGGCAGGAGGGACACGTGTGAGTGACATGGCCAGTGGGGATTAAGGGGGAATGGTTCTCCGTGGGCACGTTGGGGGTGGGGGGGTTGGGACAGGGGATGAGGGGGCTAGTTAGGGTGAGTGTGGGAAACGTAGTCCTGGGCTGGCTGGGAATATTGATGAGACGGGGAGCTGGCAGCCCCTGCCTTCCCTCCCTCCGCTGGGCGGCGGGGGCATACCTTGTACCACCAGGCGGCCCTGTGCGGTCCTCCTCACCCGGGTCCCAGGTCTGTTGGCTGCACAGACGTACACCCCCGAGTGCTGGACCGTCACGTCCGAGATGATGAGGTTGCCTGTGCCCAGCACCTGGATGCCCTCCACGCCGATGGGGCGGCCATCTGAGGAGGGCAGGTGGGCGAGTGAGCGGAGGGCAGGCAGAGCCGGAGAACATTCCAGCTCACAGCTTCTGCCTGTGTCCCCGCTCCCAGCACCCCAGCCCTGAGGGGTGGCAGGACGCAGCCAGAGGCCCGAGTCCTAATCCAGCGGGGGCCCTATCTGCTCTGGGGCCCCCAGACCCCCCCAGGCCCCCTGTTCTGACATTATGTTGCGTCAGGTCAGCTTTGCTTCCCTGGGTTTGGTGTTCTTGAACCAAGTTCACAGTCCACGTTCGTTCATCCGATCCTGGGTGGTCATGGGGCCCATCGACCTAAAGACACCGAGAGGTCCCTTTCCGGTGGACCCAGACTTGACAGCCCCCCAAGCTGTTCTTTCGGTCCTGATAGGCCTCACTTGGGGAAATGTTGAGCCAGATGGCACTGCAGGGCCTAGCGGCTACCCTTCCCATCCTCTCACGGACCCTTCCACCCCAGCATCCGATTAGCACAGTCCGAATACAAGGAGACAGCTCCCCATTCAAGGCCTGAAGTGGTGAAATCTACTCCATTATCCCACAGGCTGCCCCCCTTCCCCAGTGACTCGGCCGCTACAATGTGGCACAGTCTCTGGTGAATGCCGCCCCGCCCGCCTGCCCTCCGGAGATTCCTCCCCGGGGTGACCTTGCCACACAGACAATGTGGGCCCATCTGCACCCTCTCACACCTCGCCTTCAGCTGCCCGGGATGTAGGCTGGGGAACTAGGGCCCCCCGGGACAGACTGGGGACACAGAGGGAGACATTGGCGACAGAGATTCTGAGAGGCTAAGGGTAGGGGAGGGTAGGCAGGTAGGCATAGAGGGCAGGGTGGCAGGGTGGGGAGGGAGACTGAGAGGTTATACGGGAGCCTGATTGGGAGGGGGTGCTGGTGATGGTGGGGGTGATTAGAGCTGGTAACCCAGGGAGCTAAGCTATCCCTGCAGGGGGAGGGAGAATCCCATGGGCAAGCTGCCCCCCTGGTCCTGCAGAGGAGTGAGAAACGCACCCCGGCCCCTCCAGAGGCCCCAGAGAGCAGACTCCCACGGAGAACAAACAAAATGCAAAGTCTCCCTAAGTGGGGCTGGGTGAGGAGCCAGGGCCCAGGGGTGAGGTGGGGCTGTGAGCCGGTGGGGTGGGGGCTTACCCAGGCGGCTCCAGGACACAATGGGGCGCGGGTTGCCCGTGGCGACACACTCCAGCACAGCTGTCTGGTGCACGGTCAGGGTGAGGTTCTCAGGCCCCACGAGGATGGCCGGCTCCTCATAGGCCCCGGAGCCGGAGCCTAGAGGGAGGTCCTCACTTCAGTGGGTGCCTCACCACCCCTGCCAAGCCAGGGCATGGGGGTGGGGGCACAGGAAGCAGGAGCCAGCCCAGACATCAGACCCCACAGCAGAGTGGAGGTGGCCCCCAGTGCACCCACCTCAGCCCCCCGCCCTTTGGGGCTTATGCTGTTGGCAGAAAATTCCCCCCTTTCCCCAGAGGAGCTGCTGGGTGGCTTGGAGCCTAATCATTGTGCTACCAGGCCTCCTTTATGCAGGCATCTGGGCATAGGGAGCGGGCAGTGGTTCGTTCTCTTGTACACGAGTCAGAAGCCAGCACGGCAAGGAGGGGCACCTGGGCAGAAGGCTTCCCTGGAGAGAGCTGAGCCAGGAACGGGGGCTCAGACCCTCACCGGAGCTTCGCAGAGCCTCCTGCTTACCGCACTCAGAGGACAAGTGACCAGGGACCAGACTGGAGGCTGAAGGTGGCACCGGACAGGACAGAAGACACTCACCTGACACGGTGAGCCTGGCGCCGTGGCTGACTCGTACGCTGGCGGTGTTGGAGGCCACACAGTGGAAGACCCCGCTGTCCTCGGACCGCAGCCCTGTGATCTGCAGGACCCCCTTGGGCAGCAGCGTATACCTGTCGGGGGAGGGACACAGTCGGTTGCCAGCACAGCCACATGCGGGGACTGTAAGCATTTTAGAGCCCTAGCCTCGCAGCAGGGACACACCTGCCAGACCGGCCGTGCTCAGGCGCATGCTCGCAGAGGTGCTGGGCCTGGAGCCTGCGCCGTGTTGGCCTCCTGGATGGATGCCATGCAGGGCTATAGACCCAGAAGCGTGGTCCTCAGAGCTGAGGCCAGTCCCTCCTCCGCCTGTCTCACAGGACTCACCGCTCGTTGTCTGTGTCAATGGGGACACGGTTCTTCTCCCAGGTGATCAGGGGTTTGGGAAGCCCATGGATTTGGCACTGGAAGCGGGCCACGCCGCCCTCCTCGCCTACAGCGGCTTGGGGATGCACATGGAAGTCGGACATGGCTGGTGGGAGAAGAGAAGCCTGTTGGAAAGGCGCCCAACCGAGGGGGCGCAGGGGCAGGCCGGGTTGAGTCACCCCCGCGTGCTGGGGTGACAGGGTTGGGGCCCATGAGTGCTTAGCCCCCAGATATCTCCCCCTGAAAGGTGATATAAGGCCAGGCTACAGCACGCTGGGAAAAGTCCGGACAAATTCTTGGAAGATAACCCTCCAACAAGAGAATCTTGGACTGCCAGAGGCTCCGCTGGGAGGCACTGGTCCCCACCCCCACAAGTGACCCATGCAATCCAGTCAGTGGGAGCCTGGTCCCCATTTCACCTCTGCCTTTGGATTATCCGCCCCCCCACACACAAGTTCCCTTTAAGTTATGTGAGACCTAAGTCTTATGCTCCACATATTACAAATTTGGAAACTGAGGCCCAGAAAGGGGAAACAATTATGCCAATATACCCTGCAGGGCCACTAGTGGTTGGTCAGCCATGGGGACCAGGCCCAGTGACTTCTTTGTCCTTCCTTACCACCTCCCACTTGTGCCATTTCTCCCCGTGCATCCTGCGTGGGGAGGGCATCCACCGAAGGTGACAAGTCTCTCAGAAGACTGGCAGGGCCACCAATCTGCATTTCAATGTGTCATAAATATTCAGAGCCCCTCCCCATCTTGGGGATCACATCTAAACCCTTGAACTCTGGTCCGGAGAGGCCTGGGCAGAGGGGCTGTGGTAGATGCCCCCCCCCACCCCCACATACCCCTGCTTTTGGCTGGTCCAGGGTACCTTCCATGGCCTTATTCCCATCTGCCCCCAAGCCCCACCCTGTAGCCTGAGGAAGGCGCCTCCTCTCCCAGCTTCAGCTCCCGGCTGTGATTTCCTTAAAATCCACTCTGCTTCGAGTGCGGGAGGCGGTTCACCATCTGTCCTGGCAGGCAGCCCCCCCCCCCAGGCACTCCATCAACTGGGACAGTTGTTCCCCTCCCCCCACGGCAACAGGACTGCCGGAGCTGGCCCTGGTCGGGGTGAGCAGCCCACCCATAGCCCCCAGGCCTGGGGCCCCTCACCCCCTGCCCATCCTGGACTCCAGGGCGCCCCTCACCCCCCCTCCACCCCTGAGGGAGGGCCTTTGTGCCCTCCTACCCAGAGCCTCTGGGGGCCGACTCCTTTGTGGCGTGTTCTCCATCTCATTTGCATGTGGTTCATTAAATATAAACACGCATAAAAATCCACCCACCCCACCCTGCCCTGCTTCTGCTCCCTCCACTGGCTCACGGAGGGCCTGGGGAGGGGTGCGCAGATAATGGTATGTGAGCCTCTTTGTCAGTGCGTTCAGGGCTGGGTCTCCTGGATGTGGTCTCAGTGCCCAGGGCAGCTGTAGATGGGGCTACTGGGCGAAGCAGGACCTCTAGGGCAGTCAATCCTGGGTGTCTGCAAGACAGAGTTCTCATAACTGGGCCTGAGGGCCCTGGGGACTGAAGGGGGGACCAGTGCCCCAGCTGATGCCCTCAGCAGGCTCACTCTAGGATCCCCTGGGAGCCCTTCAGGTCAGTCGGCTTGTCTCGGGCCACAGGCTCTCTCTCTTTGGGCAAGAGCCTGCAGGGCAGCCTGAGACTCTGGGGAGAAGGCCGAGACTGGGGAAGGAGGCCGAGACACTGCAGGGCCCTTTGCAGCTTCTGGCCTCAGCCTCAAGGAGGGGAAGTCAGGGCAGGACGGGGTCTGCGGGTGGGAGAAGGCACCAGCATCCTTGGAGGGCAGGGGACCTGGGGAGCCGCCCGCCCCCTCCTCACTCCAGCTGGAGAGGCGCTCCCAGCTCCCCAGGGACCCGGGCTGGGACTAATGGCTCTGCCGACCACAGATGCCTCCTCATTAAGGAACCAAATCCTTTTGTTGCATCTAGCTCCATACTAGGCTCCCTGAGGGCGCCTGGAGTAGGGAGCTGGCCCAGGAAAGCTGTAAGGGAGAGGGCACTTCCGAGGGCGAGGGTGCTGAGGATGAAGAAAGGCTGCCTCGCCTGCCTGGCCCTCTTCTCCAGGCACCAACTAGTGGGCAACAACCTGGGTTGAGTATGATGCTACTGAGGAATAAGCTGGCAGTGACTGTAGGTGAGGGCTCAGGCTGGCTGAGAAGGTGGGGCGTCCTTAAGGGTCCCTTGGGCCCCTGGGGTGCGCCTCCCACTCCCATCAGAACAGCACTCTGGGTACCTCTCCATCAGCTCTGCTTCACCTAAGTTCGATGGAACAGTTACTTTGAAGGGTTGTCTTCAAGCCTTTCCAGTGCTTGAAGACACTGAATTTAAAGCCGACCTGTTAGATGTACGAAGGGGAAGCAGGCCTGGGCTCAGCTGGTGGCTCCTGGCCCTGAGTCGGGGTTCCAGGCCCCAGGCCCTCTGCTAGAGCACTCTTCAGTCTCCCTTAAGTGCTCGTCACCCCAGCGCCCACTGGTGTCTCTTTCTACTGGTTGGGAGCTGGGGTGGAGTTGTAAGTTGCAAAGGGGAATACTGAGCCCTGGGGTGGGAAAGTCTCTCTGGTTCCCAAGCCCACCCCTCAGAGACCAGGTGTGGTCTGGGGGAAGTGGGTGCAGTAGGCGAGCAAGGCCCTCTAGCTCGGGCTCCGTCCTCCTGTGCTGAGCTGGCCTCCCATTTGGGTGTCCTGTTGGACCTGGCCTCACCAGCCGCCTCCTCATCCATAAAATGCAGGGGTGAACTAGCTGCTCTCCAGGGCCTTCCAGCTCTGAGTACCCACAGGCCTGCCCAGAAAGACCCTGATCTGAATCCACAGTCTGGCTGAGCCTAGCTGGGGTCTCTTGGGATCTGCCCCGCCCCCTGGTTCACAGCAAGAGTGTTTTCCTCTCAGGACGTCTGAGGCCCATTTATTCACTGCCACTGAGTCAGTTCTGACTCATAGTGACCCTATAGGACAGGGTAGAACTGCCCACCCCTGTGAGTTTCTGAGACTCTAACTTTTTACGGAAGTAGAGAGCCTCATCTTTCTCCTTCGGAGAGGCTGGTGGTTTCAAACTGCTGACCTTGTAAACTCATAATCACTATACTACCTGGGCTCCCTCGGGGGCCACTTAAGCCCCTCCAAATCTCTCAGTGTAGGACATGCTTGGCTCACACGTCTGTCCTGGACGTATGCTAGCAGACCGCACTGTGGGGAGAGGATAGCCGGGTGAGCAGGAGTGCTGTGGGGCTGAGCGTGCCCCCCACATCCTGGAGGAGCTGCCACTCCCCCCAGAGGCTGCCAGGTGATGCTGACCAGGCTGCTGCCACTGCAGACATTGCGGCTGGTGGACAGTACTAGGGTGATGCTGTGGCTTGTGGCTGATTATGTTCCTGTTGACACCTGTTGGCCTGGGGGGGTGTGTGTGAATTGTGGGTATGCCCTTAAAGCAGGATGATGGGGTGAGTGACTGGGAGGCCCTCCAGGTATGAGGGCCAGGAAGGCCAAAGACCTGTAAAGGGGGCAGTTCTGGAGAAAGGACGAAGGAAGTACTTTGTCCCCAAGCAATCCGGGAAGCAACTTCTCAGTGTCTTGCTGCCCCCACCCTGGGCACAGCCTGTGGTGAGAGAGGAGCAGACAGCAAGCCCAGCATTCCCGGACAGGAAGGGAGCAGAAGCAGGCAGGAAATGGCTCCTGGACACCCCTATAAATCACCCTGAGGGGAGGGGTCTCCTGAGAGCCAGACCCAGAGCCGCTCCGGAAGGGGAGGAGGACTTCCCTCCAGGTTCAGGGCCTCTGCAAGGTCAGGCCTGGATGTGATTAGACAGGCTCCAGGGGGACGCAGGGGTGCAGCAAAGGGCCAAGGCAGAGCTGGACCAGGGTCTCCCAAGATCCAGGCCGCCTCCCCTCAGCCACAATCAGACTCCCATCCATGTGCAGAGGCCAAAGGTCCGGGCCATGTCTGGATGCAGCGTTCTGAACTCCGCTTTTGTGAAAAGCCTGTGGCATGGCAGTCTGAGGCTCCGATGCTTGCCTCCTCCAGCAGCCACTCAAGAGGGGGACCACAGGACCACTGCGTGCCAAAGGTCAGACCCCTCCTTGACTCCTCCCTGCCAAGGATCAGGCACACGCAGCCTCCTGGATCCCCAGCCCCTCCCTGGGTAGGTCGGACTACTCGGACATTCTTCCATAAGCTTCTACCACCTCCCAGCCCCAGCTTTTCCCTCGAGAACCACACTGTCTGCTATTTAGAAACAATCAGAGCAAACTCGCTGCCATCGACTCCCTTCCGACCCCCAGAGGCCCTACGGGGCAGAGAAGCGCCCCTGTGGGAGTGAGACGCCTGTCTTCCCCACTCGGCTGCTGGCTATCGGGCCAGTTGGGAAGCATTTGAGATAGGCGCCAAATCTTAAACACTTGGCTAGGACCTCATTCATGAATGATTTTTCAATATTGATTCTAAGTTGAAACAATATTTTAGATTTCAGAGACTTAGTTCTCCCTTAAAAAGAAGGTAAAAGAATTCATTAATCAATTAATAATAATAATAGATTCTCTATTAAAATATAGCATCATACAATTCAATAGTTCAATCACATTCAGAAGGGTTTGCACCCATCACCACGATCCACGTTGGAACATTTTCTTCCTTCTTGTGCCCATTGCTGTTGACTCCCCATTTCCCCTCAATCCCCTTCTGTGCCCCCAGGCAATTATTAACCCAGTTGTTGTCTTTATAGATCCATATATCCTAACTTTGCAGAAAAACATACAAAACAAAGAAAAAAACCAAAAATGACCGAGCAACAAGGACTCAATAAAACAGAGATAAACCTCAACTGAAAGGAAAGCAGAGAGTTCTAAAGAATCTAGACTAGCTCTCTCCTGCCCTCTGTCTCCCAAACACACGTGGACCACCAAGCGGGCTCAGTATTTACAACCTTTCATTCGGGGGCTCCATGGGTTCCCATCTCTATTCCACCCAGGCGACTTTTGCTGCCTCGGGGGTCACTTTTGCCTTTCCAGTGACAGAGTGGTATGCTGCTATCTCTTAAAAACAAAAACCACAGTAAA